AATGAAAATGGGAATGTCCAGAAATTTGTGCTGTGCAGCTGACTGATGGAACCTTCCACATCTAAATATAGCTACTGGACAACATATTGCTATATTTCCTTTACCCTTAAAATGGACAGAGCCAATTTAAGACAGCTTAGACTTTCAGTGTAGGGAGCGTATCAGGCTGGGTGCCTCAATGTCAGGAAACAGGTAGTCACAGATCTCACTCTGAGGGACATAACCCTAAAATGTCCATTACCATCACTGAGGACTGCCCCTCAGCACAGTCCCAATCCATGAAAATCACTTAGTGTGAAACCATAAAAGAGACATGGGAGATACTTTATCATTTTCAGACTTGGGGGATTTCTTTCCTTTCCATGGTTGACTTTGTAATTCAGCTGCTCATTTCAAATACTCTTATTAGGGATGGGATGCAAGGTATGAGGCCCTAGGTTTCTCAAAACTACCAGGCTCCCGTGTGATCATTGTATTGCCCAAGGAACTGAGCATCCAATTCCGCATTCCATGAAGCCCTATGCCAGATAAGGCTATCCTCTGGCCAAACAGGACTTCTTTGAGCCTGCATTATTCAAAGTGCATAGCAGCAGTCCAGGAAAGGGATGTGATAGCACATGCCAAACCCTGGGGCTGGAGCCTTTTATTCCTAAAGGAGATGATCCCATAGGAGGAGGGTTTGGCCGAACACAGTATAAAATCCTTCGCCTTCTCGGTTCTAGAAGATATGGTGATTCCAGTGATATCCTGCACAGCTCCAAGAGCATCACAAGAGACAGGGACTTCAATTGCAAAATGTCCCTCCCACCCCCACCTTATCCAAGAGCGCTAACTGGAAGTGCTTTCTGTCCTTAGAGCTTCCTTCATACTTTATCTGTTTCCTACTTAACAAACATCTCTATCTTGTATTTAGTTCTTTACAAACTGATTTTATCTCTCCTACTGGACTCTAAACTCCTCGAGGGTAAGACCTGTGTCAGATTTATTTTTTAATTCCCTGAGCATCTATCACAGTTCCCAGAACACTGTAGCTTCTCCATAAATATTCATTGGATGAATAAATGAATAATGCACAAACACCATGGTCAGGACAGTCTTCGTGGCTATTTGTCATTTTCAATCATGAAACCACCATATCTGTAAGACGGATTGGCTCCTAAATAAAGCTGTAATTTCCTAAGCAGAGCGGATTCTGATCCTGATTTGTGAAAGACAACAACCATGTTGTTTAACTTTGTTAAAGTGTAAAGGCAAGGAAGAATGTTATGCTTGACAACCATTCTCTCGCTTGCTCTCCCCCCCCCCCCCCCCTCTTTTGGTAACAGATGTCAACCTCGGTTAGATTCAATTCAACTTATTAGTGCATGGCTTTTAGCCAAAAGCAATTCACATTTGCAGAAGTGTACTATCACATATGTCTTAATAACAGAAATGTGTTTTTAAAAAAATGTATGTGATAAGTCACATATGGTAGAAGAAATCTGTACATCTCTCAGGCCTTGTTGTCACAATGAAAGCTTGAAGATAATTGCTGCAGAACATTAACATACAAGTGAAAGTCTCTCTGACATGTTAAAGAGCCACAGTTTGAACAAACTAATCAAGATTGGATACCGGCACAGCTCCAGCAGACTGAGAAATACACCAGCATCTCTTGTCCTGATCACTGATCTTAAGAACATTCAATTTTGATTCTTACCCTCAGAGGTAATATTTAATGTTCCAAGGTAAAATCATTAGTGTATCCAGATACTTTAGGTACTTACATTCACTAAGCATATATTTAATTTCTCCTTTATATGGCATGTAATTAACGTGTACCACAGTCTCCCTATTGTGATGAAAGAGGCTTACGATCATGAAGGTTTTAAAAGTAAACTGAACAAGTGGCTGAGAAATAGGGAAGAGGAGGCAAACCTTTAGAGAGGAAAACAGGAAAACTAAATAGATATTGTGAATCATTTACCATAGCTCTAATGGAAAGATGCTCAGGCTGAGTTAGATCTTGGGAAGTGACAGAATTTAAGAATGTGCATATGCCTTTTGGAAGCAATCCATCCACTCACAACTTGGAATACATCACTGCACTGTCAATGGATTTCATATTCAGAATGACTTCAAAGATAGTAAATTCGGAGCCATCTCTTCGCTCTGAATGAGAACTGGGTGGTATATCAGCCCCAGAAAGTCCAGAACACAGGAAAAGGGCTTGGTGAATGCCTGCTCTATGTTTAAAATGACAAAAGAGAGAGAGGGGTGATAGTTTAACCCTTACAGTCAGGGAAAAGCTCACCTCTGTGCCTTTTTCTTCCTGACCAACGAGAGTAGGAGCCAGCAAAGGCTTGCTGTGATGGGCCAGACAGTAAATAGTTTTGCCTTTGTGATTTGTACAATCTCTGTCGCCACGAATCTCTGACACCACGGTACAAAAGGAGCCACAGACAATATGGAAACAAATGAGTGTCACCATGTGTCAATATAGCTTTTTTAAAAGACACTGAAATTTGAATTTCATATAATTTTCACATGTCACAAACGATTCTTTTGATTTCTTTTCCCCTGCCATTTGCCAAACTCTGCACCAGAGGATGACATCCAATCACACATATGATCATCTGTACCACTCTGTGTTCAGGCTTTAGTTGCAAATGTCTCCAGACCTCGACTTTTCCAGCAAGCCCGTACACATTTTTCGTTGTATGCACAATCAAATGTTAATTCTGACATACAAGAGCAAGCTGGTACGCATCAGAAGCAGAGCAGCGAGAATGAACCAGAGCAACATGGCGTGAGTCAAGAATAGGAGGATAATGGATGACTTGATCGGTTACAACACATAGCCCCTTCCAGTCTGACACTCTAGTGTGGGACCACCAGTCTCATTAAGCCTCTAGGCCAGGTTCCTGGAAGGACTGCTCTCTGGGATGTGTCCAATTTGTTTACCTCATCATTCATTCAGGAAAACATGTATTTGGGGTTTCAGGGCACCATGTGTAAGTGAAATTCTCGGTCAGACATCCAAAATAATAAAAGGACCACTACACATAAAACTTCAAAAAAGCCTGCTTCTCCTTTGCTATCAGGCAGTGTTCATGAACTGTGCACTGGGATCTATGTCCCTGAGCTGAGGTCCTGAAGAGGTCTTCTTCAAGCGCCCAGTGGTTGTGGCTGGGCGGGTGGTGTAGGTATCACGAGCCATGTCCAGGAGGAAAACCAAATGCACACCGAGAAGAGCACCTTATTCAATTAGAAGGCAATTCTAAACACCTACCAGTTGATCACAACTGAGGCTTATTACTAAGCAGATTTTCAAGTCTATTTAAAAGTAAAAAGCTCCATATTCTATTACTAATCCTTTGGTTTTTCTAGTTTTCCTGTTTTCTCTTTATGCTATTCCTTATAGCACTTGACATTAGAGTCTGCATTGTGAATTAACCAGAGCTTACAAAAAATATAATTATCTGTAGGGTCGAATCCTCACAAGGAACAGAGACAAAATTTGTCCCACTTCCAGGCCACAAGAGTCTGATTTCATGCAGCCCCATACACTACCAAGATGGAACCTGGGACTTACTTCCTATCAGGAGGGCTTGAACTTGGAGATGTTTGTCCCATGGAGGGCCTCCAGCCCTTTCCCCATCCCTTGTGACCTAGGGCAAACATTTGCACACGGGTGGACTAGAGGAAAGGGTGCAATCGGACTAGGGGAAAGAAGACAGCTAATGGCCCACCCAGGGACCAACAGTCCTGGCCTTGGACTCATTAGCACCATCCTCTAATCCCGCCACAGGCGTACAGTAGAGAAGCCTTCAGGGCACAAACAGAAAAGAAATCAGGCTGCAGAGAAGATTTCAACCCAAATCAAACAACCAGACAAAAACTCAGCTACTGGAAATACTCCCATAGGATGACTAGAGCACAATATATCTCCAGACTACAGATGCTTCTCCAGACACTACAAAAGTTGATAAGGAATATTCTGCAGCCTATGAAAAATTAAATTTAAAAACAAAGTACACAGAACCTTTTGGAAAAACGAATTAGAGTTTGGACTTAATGGTGGGCTAAACACTACTCTGGTGACTTGGAAAAGCGACCTCCTTGTCACTGGTATTAGCTGATCCATTCTCTAAGAAACAATTAAAAACCAATGCACTCCCTACTTCTGCATTTGGTACCCACTACCATGGGAGTCGGCCATCATAGATTAACACGGAGTTTCTAGAGATGTGACATTGCAAGGCCTATGATAACCCAGCAAGGAGAGCAGGGCTTCCCTAGGCCACATGGCTGGTGGGCCTGGTCCACATAACACTGCGATCAGATGCCACAAACCCAAACAATAAGACAAACATCCTTCTTAATTTGAAAGTCTCCTTTCTGGAAGAGTTGGGATATCTAAGATATACTATATTTAAAAGAGTGCTGTGTTGCTTGTTTATAATTTAAGAATGTCCCATAAAATGCCTTGGAAACAGCTCTCTGTTAGCTAGAAAAACCTTTGGTTAAATATATTTTTACAAGCTTTTCATTAACAGAGAAGCAAGGACTTGACACCAAGGTGCCAAACCTCCCCACGTGGCTGGAAATCACTTGGCACATTTTCAGCCATTTCAGTCCCTGTCATAGGTCCAAGGTTTGCAATTAAAAATATAATCTTTTTAGCATGTGCAAGACCCAGAGGCTTGAAGTACCATGCACTGAATAGGATTATAATAGTATGTGGCAGCTCTTTACGGAGGGCACATATTAATTTATGTAAACTGGGCTCAACCTGGGGCAGTGCCTCATCAGGATCACAGGCAAAAATCAAATCAAAATAAAAGCTGATCCCTACTCAACTGCAGATTGGGGTTTTGTGTTTTGGTGGTCCCTCCTCCTTCTTTGTTTCTGTTTTTTGATCATCATAGAGAGGAACTAAAAATTCAAGGTCTCTTTTGTGACACGTGCATGGAGTCCATTCAAATCAAAATTTCCAACTAATAAAAAAAATAACTTACTTTACAGGATTATTCTTAGGTTTTGCCTTTTCAACAGCCTGTAAACAGAAGAAACAAATGCAATTAGACAACATTAGCAGGCATAATCTTCGCAACTAGTTACCAAAACAATAAGCAATATAAATTGCTCTTCCGAAACACAAGGTCCTAACGGAAGCAGGCTGCTTGCGATAAGCAGACTGGAGACAGGGAGCAATTTTCCCTTCCCAGGGCACATGGTTACCTGTCTAAGTGCAGCTTTTAGACACAGACACTCATTCCTCTCTCCACCTTGCACTCAGATATTAGCCCCTGGGCGGGCCTGCTTGGATTGTTATGACAGGGTAGGGAAGCAGGTACGCGGTGGGGGTTTGTCACGGGCACATCCAGGACTTTTAGATTTGTGGTGGGGACCCGTTGACCCTGAGCAACTCCTGACCCCTGGCTGCACCTGCATGGCGAGAGCAAGGCCAAAGTAGCCACTTCTAAAATCATTTTTTTTAGTGTACACCACAAAAGGCCAAGGGATGACCGACCCCTCAGATCAATCTCCTCTGGTGGAACCTTTAAGAAAACACACACCAAATCATCGAAATGAGGAAACCTCTGGGCCTCTCAGCCTGTGTCGCCTTAGACATGGAGCCTGGTTCCAGTTTATTGCTGAACCCATTGATCTGTGGACAGTCCATTTATCATTCATGAAAAGAGCTAGTGATCTTCACAGTATATTAGAAGAAACAACTCAGATCATCTGTCAACAGCCCTCTTATTTCTGTTTCCCTCTCCACAGGGATTGCATCTCCTTGGATTCTTCTGGAATTAAAATGTTGCTAAGCAACACAGCTGGGGGCACTGATGGCAGAATGGCTACAGTCTATCAAACTGTTTAAGCACCTGGAGGGTTTTAGCGATGATTTTTTTCATACTTCTATAGCATAATTATGTAATCAGAACCAAACTTGTACTCCCCTAGACTTTTGCAGAAATAACCTGTAATATGGGGAGTGTTGAAGCGGCAGCTTGATACTCTCTGGGGTCTTCAGACCCTTTCAAGAAGTATCCGTTCGGAGACCTTTATATTTGTGAATTCTGGAGGTGGGCGATGGCAGCTCCTTGTAACACCAGACTTGGCATTCTGGGTAACTGGTGTGGAAGTAAGTACCCCGGACTTGCTACTCACAACAGCTCAAGACACTCTGGAGCCATTTTTTAAAATAAATGAAACACTTCTCAAGCTTAGAGATTAGCACCGGAAATTCAAGTCCTTCTCCTCTATTAAATCTCAGGTTCTGTTGCTAGGTAAATACCCATTAATATTTGGGCACTTTCTTTGGCTCTCAGTGGCAAAAATCGTCTTCTCATCATCTGTGCCTGAGGTTGAATTTTGGCAAACGGTGGAACAGCAAGCAAGCGAGAGCGGGAGGTAGCAGGTGACAATGATAAAATAAGCAATACGTGTGTGGTCAGCCCAAGTCGCATCTCACAGGTAGTTAGGATACGAAAGTGTGTCCCTGAGCAGGTCTGGCCCTGGAACGGATGCGGGAAGGAACAGGTGGATGCTGGTGTGGAGGGGGGCTGGACCCAGTCTGTCCAGCTGTGCACACCCACACTTGTCTTCTCCATCACCCTTTCTCCCCTACTCCTGGCTGCTTTGGAATGGTGTATGGTAGTGGGATGAAGACATGTCACTGTGGGAATCACAGGAACCCATGTTCCCTTGTCTGTTACAATCCAAACGGGTCTGTTCTTGGAAGACTTTGGTTATTGTAAAGGCACTAGCATGGTGTTTGAGGGGTTTCCTTTGAAAGCACACTGAATGTGATAGCATGGGCATGGCACTGGCAGAAGACAGGGAGGGAGAAATCACAGTGACATTGCTTAACCTAGCTTTCATTCAGTGACATGGTTTTTGAAAATGTCTTCTCTTTTCTGTGCTTCAGGACTGTCAATTAGACCCAGTTAGTTTTCTCTGATCAGGAGGAGCATAATCATGTTCAAGGCCAGTTTCTTTGAAAGCTATGTCTTTTCATACAGCCATCATAGGAAAATAACTTCATTCAAATTAATGTTTTCTGGGCTGCTTGGCTATTGATTGAAAATGTCTCTGCTGAGAAGTTCTCTTTTCTTTGGAAATTAACTTGGGACCATTCCAGAGAGCCAATAGCTTTAGTCAGACGTGCTCACGTCATCCTCCTGTGTGCTCATCACCTTTCATCTCTAAGCTAAATGGTTACAGGGAGTCGCCACCAGACCTGAGACAGAGCTCACAATGTGCGTTCTTTGTTCCCGCTTTAATGTGATGCTGTGTTCCGCCTGCTATAATTATTCAACTCAGAGACTGTGAGGGAAAGTTAAGTGAATTATCTGTGGGAAAACTATATGTGCCTTTAAGGTCTAAGAAGTAGTTTAAAAAAATGCAAGGAGAACATTCCTCTTTTGAGATAATGGGACATGAAAACACCAGCCCAAGTTCCAAAACATGCAAAAGGAGGGGAATCAAAATGAAATGATCTCATGTAATTTGCCACACATTAAGAGGGTTGCATATTGGGATTACAGCTCATTTTGAGTTTAAAAACATACATTAAAGTAATTTAAACTGATTGGAAGATGGAGGCTAGATAGTTAACACCCATGCCGCTTTAATTTGCAACATCTATACGCTTTCTAAAACCTATATTCTACTTATTTTGTGCCACATTTCCCTAACATGATACTAATCTTACCATTACGGAAGCTCTAGTATAAGAAAGGATGATATGATAAATTAAAATGCTAGAAAACGGATTCCACTGTGGTGTGGTGAAAGGCCGTGGGCTACAGTGATGGGCGGGAAATTCAGAAACTCGGGTTCAGCTCCCAGCTTTGCCACTTACTATCATCAGGATGTTAGCAAGGCGGCTGACACTTCTGAGCCTGTTTCCTCATTTTAAAAATGAAGATGATCATTCCTGTCCCATCTATATCAAGTGTGGGTGGGAGCAGCCAACATCCACGGCGGCACTCTAGAAACCATCACGCGCCATGCAAATGCAGTGCAGACTGTGCCTGCTTTGGGCTTTGGGGCACACATCTGCATGGCCAGAGAGTTTATGGGCTTGATGACTTCTGGGCAGGGTTGTGGTATTGAACCCATACAGTTATTCCAACAAGGCTTCTGGGAGCCACTGTGTTCCTCTCTCCACGTCAGGAGCAGTTCTGGGCTAAATAGAATGCTTCTGTCTGGAAAGTCCTACTCGAGGGAGATCTGGTTATGTTTAGAGCCTGACCTGTCTGGGCCAGCAGGAGAGACCCCTGTACCTTTGCACATTCCTCTGGCCTGAAACTTCTTCGGGTCTGGTGCTGGTGGCCAAGAAGCCAGGGCACCTGAGGTGTCATGGGGACACAAATGCAGATGCATATCCTCAAATCTCTCTGTCTCCCTCCTTCTCCCCCACTCCTCCTCCATAAGGAAGCCTAGGAAACCTCCATCGTTTCCAGTGACTTTTTCATCAGCGGTCCCCCCTTTCACATCTCACTCCAGGAGGATTGTGCTTTGCTTTTTCACTAACATTTGATCCTGAGGTTGAGAAGCCCTGAGGTGAGCCTCCTCTCTCATATGGTATCTTGGAAAATCATATACCAAGGGAGAATGCACTTCTCTCATTCCAAGGAATGTGTATGAATGGATTCTTCTCTTATTACTGGCCTTGTATGATCCATGGTATCCTGCTAAGCAGCAAACTTATTTCCTCAGGAGGGATGATGTGGCTAAGGACATGCTCATAGTTGCTCACTCATTAAAACTGTCTTCCTAAAAATAAGAAGGATCTTGTCTTTCTGCTATGCAGAGAAATTTCTGGCTCCACCAAGGTCCAATCAATTCAGGGACCATACTGAATTACGTGAACCATAAAAACTGTAGAGCTGTCATGAGAAAATAGAAGCAAAGAAGGAAAGAAAGAAGGAAGAAAAGAAAATGGCTGTCTCTTGAGTCCCATCCTCCATGGCAAACATAACATCATGTGTTTTTAGGGAGAAAATGCTACATATACTTTTTTGACATCTTCTACAGAGGGAGCTAACTTTTAAAAAGTTCTTTGGTGATTCTGTCCCAGTGTTATTCTTTTTTTTTAATTTTTAAAATTTATTTTCAGCGTAACAGTATTCATTGTTTTTGCACCACACCCAGTGCTCCATGCAATCTGTGCCCTCTCTAATACCCACCACCTGGTTCCCCCAACCTCCCACCCCCCACCCCTTCAAAACCCTCAGATTGTTTTCAGAGTCTCAGTGTTATTCTAATCCAACAAACATACATACTACATTTATTTTTTTAAATGAGAGACTCTTGGTCCACCTGGGTGGCTCAGTCGGTTAAGTGTCTGACTCTTGATTTCGGCTCAGGTCATGACTTTTGGGTCCTGGGATAGAGCCTTGCATCCAACCCTATGCTCAAGCTGGGAGTCTGCTTAAGATTCCTTCTCTTCCTCGCCCTCTGCTCCTCTCCCCACTCATGTGCTTTCTCTCCCTCTCTCTCTCAAATAAATAAATAAATCCTAAAAAAAAATTAAAAATGAGAGGATCATTTTTTTAAAATCTTTTATTTATTTTCAGCATAACAGTATTCATTGTTTTTGCACCACACCCAGTGCTCCATGCAATCCATGCCCTCTCCAATACCCACCACCTGGTTCCCCCAACCTCCCCCCCCCCGCCCCTTCAAACCCCTCATATTGTTTTTCAGTGTCCATAGTCTCTCATGGTTCACCTCCCCTTCCAATTTCCCTCAACTCCCTTCTCCTCTCTAACTCCCCTTGTCCTCCATGCTATTTGTTATGCTCCACAAATAAGTGAAACCATATGATAATTGACTTTCTCTGCTTGACTTATTTCACTCAGCATAATCTCTTCCAGTCCCATCCATGTTGCTACAAAAGTTGGGTATTCATCCTTTCTGATGGAGGCATAATACTCCATAGTGTATATGGACCACATCTGCCTTATCCATTCGTCCGTTGAAGGGCAACTTGGTTCTTTCCACAGTTTGGCTACCGTGGCCATTGCTGCTATGAACATT